CAGTCCTAATAAAAATAACAGGAGGAAAGGTCTAATGGAAAAACACGACACCTTCCCCACTCACTCTGCACATCTACATCTACGGCTATTAAGGGTATAGAAGGACAAGGTCAAGAAAAAAAGACAGGCTGTTCATTATGAGCAGATTCATCTCAACACCGGCATATATGAAGAGGGTGATTTCTCCTTTGAGTTACTAAAAGAAGGTGTATAGTTGATTGGGGTGAATTTCATGAATAGAAATTATCTTCATTCTTTACGTAAAATTCATCCCAGGGTACAAAAAATGAATATTATAACAGCATGTTCACACATATCATCTCAGCATTTTGAAAGACTGAGGCTGGAGGATCACTTAAGACCAGGAGTTTGAGACCAGTCTGGGCAATACAGTGAGACCCCCATCCCTAAAAAAAAAGAAAGAAAGAAAAGAATTTTAAGGGGGATCACTCAAGCCCAAGACTTTGAAGTTGTTATGAGCTAGACTGATACTACAGCATTCTAGCCTGGGCAACAGAGTGAGACTCTATCTCAAAAAAAAAAAAAAAAGTAAAATCACAATGTGTATCTCACCTAATTGCTGAAATAAGAACTGAGCTCTTGGCTTGGTGCCTGTGGCTCAAGTGGCTAAGGCGCCAGCCATGTACACCCAAGGTGGCAGGTTCGAATCCAGCCCAGGCCCACCAAACAACAATGACGGCTGCAACCAAAAAATAGCCAGGCGTTGTGGCAGGCGCCTGTGGTCTCCGCTACTTGGGAGGCTGAAGACTCGCTTGAGCCCAGGAGTTGGAGGTTGCTGTGAGCTGAGATGCCATGGCACTCTACCCAGAGGGACAGCTTGAGGCTCCTGTCTCAAAAAAAAAAAAAAAAGAACTGAGCTCTCTCTAGTGACACAGACCAGTAACAGTTACCTAAAGTATCTTCTTACCTAGCTGGAGCCCTGGATAATCACAGAGTTTCAGAGTAATTCTTACTTTATGTGCCACCAATCCCAGGCCCTCAGCCTAAGTACTGGAATTGCCAGACAGATCTCAAAGTGATCAAGAGTCATTCTAAAGTGCATTGCCCTGCCTGGTGGTAGCACCTGTAGTCCCAGCTATTCAGGAGGCTGAGGCAAGAGGATCATTTGAGCCCAGGAGTTTGAGGTTGTAGTGCACTGTGCATGGTCACTATGCTCCAGCCTGGACAACACAACAATGCCCTGTCTACTAAAGGTAGAAATAAAATAGGAAGTAAAGCGCATCACTACAAACTGGCTTGCCAAGTTAAGTTTCATGAATACACAAATTTGCTTAGGACATTATTTTTCTAGCAAGCCAGCCTCACTCAACCTAAGCTTTTAAAATGTATTTCAGATACTTTTACTAATATTACAGAAAATAAAGAGTGCATTTTTTTTAAAAAACTGTAAAAACCCAAATAGACTTTGATTTATTAGAGCAATCTTTTCACTTCCTTCCTACTGTTTTGATTAGTATTTGAAAGATTTATCTTATTCTCCTTTTGTTTAACTTTAGAAACTGGAATTTTAAAGAGGAGCTGATAAACTACATATTCCAGATTTTAAAGTTTTAACCTTACTCATAGGAAAAAAAAAAACCATAGTCTCTCATGAAAATGTGGCTGTGAAATGCATTTGCAGTTGCAAAATAGGTCAAAGTCATTTGTGGCGTCCATTAATCCTGCTACTTCTGTGAAAAAGGCTAAAAGCATTGCCTACATTTTACAGATGGAAAAGAAGTAACAGGTCCCATCTTGCTGTGGGTATAATAGCAAAGCCTGTGGTAGAGCCAGAAATAGAATCTTAAGGGATTTGCATTCCTTGTTTGATGTAGAACAGAATTCAACCCAAGCAGTCTCAATGAAGTCGTGCTACAGAAGTAGCAGGTCTATCACTTCACTTTTCTTTAATAGAATTAAATAGTTCATTTCAGCTCTACTTTCAATCAGAAGCCTTATGCTAATTTTTCCCGCTGACCGACCAAATATAATGTATATAGGAATCTCATAAAATACATTGTATGCTAAGCATAATGGATGATGTGCAGCCATTTTAGGAAGATTTTTTAAAAGAAAAAGCAATGTTTAAAATCCAGTATAATCTAATGCTATAGAAGAGGAACCTCTGTTACTTGAGTTCAGCAGGTCAACATGCAACTTCTAAGGTGACTGCTTTAATGCGATTCCGGGTTTCACACATTCTATTTCATTTTCTTTTCTTTTTAACCACTAGTCAGTGTGGATTCACAGCATTCTAAATCAAGTCCCACAAACACTTTTAAGAAAAAGCACCTTCATAGTTACAGAAATTGAGAATTCCATGCTGCCATCCTGTGTCCACCATCTTGCCATTACAGCTATCATTTCAATATTCCGAATTTGTGCATTTGAGCACCTCAGTGTGAGAGTGTTAGGGTGGAACTCGAGTCACGAGCTGCTACACTTCGTAGATGTGCTTAGAACTCCTATCATGTCCACCAGGCTGGGGATAGACTTGCTCTCACAAAACAGTAGCAATATGTGGATCCTCTGGTGGGAAATAAAGAACTTAATCATGTTTACTGGATAGTGTAGTTGGACGGATTAAATGAGATTAATCTACTCATATATAGTGCACAGCATATGGTAAGTGTGCAGTAACATTTCGCATATTATCTGTTAACTGGGTAGCCTGAACACATGTTGGTCTTGTAAACATCAGCTTTTAGTTGACGTGCATTTATGTAACACATTATTAATGGGAATCATTTGCAGGCATTTTTAACATGGTCTACAAGGTCCAGCATGGTCTGGAAACCATCGGTATCTCCAGCTACATGCCTCCCCCTCCAACCCAGATTACATTATGTCTACCCAGCATCTCCCTCCACCCCACCCCTTCGCTTTTGTGCAGAAGTCAGAGCAGCCTTCCTGCATTTCTGTGGATGCTCTAAGCTCTTTCCAGGAATACACGCTCTGCTTCCTCTACCTGGAACTACACCCCAAGCTCCACTCCTTGGCTTTCTAAACCCATCTTTAATTACCTGCTTCATCATTTTCCTCAGCCTCACAGTTGGTTTCTTGACACCTCCATTTTAGCCTCTGTAAAGTGGTAATTTTATATTTTTAAATGATTCTTGTATCAATGTCTGTTTTATCCTCATGAAAACTCCATGTTTGGGGATTTTTTTCTCACTATATACCTCAGGTCTACCACAGTGCTTGACATGGTAGGTTCTCAACATACATTGATTCTACTAATGAATAAACACATCCCAACGTGAGGCTATTGCTCCCCCAATTGAGCATTTTCCCGTTTCACTTTATTTTACAATCATTCCCCTCATCTCTGGCTTTATTCAACTATACAGTAAAAGGCGAATATATGTTACTCAATAAAAAGAGCTTATGCATTTAATTGGCGGGGAAAAGGAGAGGCGGAAAAGGGAAGTTGATTAAGTAGACCATGGCGTTATGAATATCAGTCCAAAGACACGCGTATAAAGGACTTTCCTGAGAATATTGTTTATGTATGGAGAAAGGTGTTATTTCAGTGGATGGATGAGTTCACCACACTGTAATTAATGTACATAAAACAGCGTGTAAAGAACCTTAATAAAAGATGTTCCCAGCCAATCA